CCCCTCACATGTCCTCTGCCCCAGCCACCTCCCTGAGGTAACATGAGGGACCAGGATGAGTCCCACTTCTGGTGTGCTGATGGCTCAGAAGCTTTGGGGAAGGAGGCGGCCTGTGGTTCCTCCCTGGATGGGTCATATGGAGGAGTTGCCATAGCGGGCAGCTTAACAATGGGTCCAGGATATTGGGGTTTGGGACAGTTTTCTTAGGGTTCCTTGTGGGATCTTGTCATCACATAGGAGTGGGATTTGGTAAAGGGCCATGAAGGTCTGGACATAGGGGACTTTTAACCACTTGCTTTATCTCCTGCTGCAGGATGGTATTACAATTGGGCATCCACTCGGAGGCCATTTCTCCAGATCCCCTAGCTGTACTGGGGCCCAGCATTATAACAGTAAAGAGAAGTTCTTTTATCAGATCATCAGGGTTGAAACATTTCCGCTGATAAGGGTACATCCAGGTGGCAAGGGCTGTGGAATGCAGGTGGGCCCTCCCATGTTGGCTATTCTGGAAGAGAGGAGAGTTTTTAGGTCCCGTAACTAGGCCTCTGAATCCCACCCAAGGCAACTCTTTTCGGAATTAGGGACCTTGGGTTTTGGTGTTTCCCACTTGTTCCCATAGAAATCCCACAAAAAACTTGTAATCAGATGTCTCTGGCCTTGTGTTAGGTGCGCACAAATTTCCTTTGAGTCTCTATGACCAGGACCATGAGCTTCCTGTCTAACAATTTTGGGACATAATTTCTTCTTTCCCTTTTGAGTATAGACCCCCTTCTGGTCTGACCCTGTGACTCCCTGAGGTCTTCTTCTGCTCCTAGCATCTTGGTAACTTTTCTTTCCCTGTTTAAAAATCATCATTCTCTTGCCAGCAGAGTTTAGTCTCCCCTGCTCTTAGGACCAAGGAACCCACACAGTCCTATGTGTGCAGTGTCACTGAATGGCGTCTCAGTTGTTCCTCTCCTACCTTTTGTGGTCTTATTAAGCCCAGAGAAAGGTGTGGGGGTCTGAAGTGTTGAGATTCGCTCTGGGTGCAGTGTTGGGTTTCTTCAGCTCTGGACCCAGGAACCAGAGTTCTGTAACAAGGACTGCGGGAGGCTGCCTGGCTGAATGACTGGCATTCTCCTCCCCGTGGGTGGACATGGCTCTGTCCATGACCTGGATGTGACCCCATCTTGGAGGTAGAGGATGTGTTCAGGTGTAGGTGTGCTGTCCCGCAGCCCCTTGGGTCGAATTACACTCACCTGTCCTTGTGACCCTGCCCCTCCTGACCTTTTTTGGATGGAACTTTCTAAGAACGAGGGTCCCCCCAATAAAAGCTCACTTCCGAACGTGCCCTCTCTCTCTTGCCAGCCTCTGTGACTTTCCTCACTCTCCCATTTGGGGAGCTTGAGGCCGAGAGCGGAGGAGCCATCCTGAAGCTTGATTTAAAGGAAAAGTGTGTGTCTGTGTTTTATTTGGTGTCCCAGGAAATTCACATGAGCAACCTTAAGTTCAGCTGCCCACCAGGTCGGAGCAGCAAAGGACACCCATCCCACTGGACTGGCCTACTCTAACACATCTGCAACAGCCCCCTGCAGACACAAGCACTCGGAGGCAACAGGTACAGGCTCAAACACAGCAGGCCACCAGACACTGACGTCAGAGGCCCTGGGGGACTGCTGCATCAGGTTCCGATGGCAGCAGGCTCAGGAGAAGCTGTCGCCTGCAGATGTGGACACCACCTCAGGTCAGGCTCAGCAGGAGTCAAGGGCAGGCCTTCCTGGGCCTGCTCTGCCCTGCCCTGCCCTCCTCTTTCCTGAGCAGCACTGGACTTCTCGGCTGTGCAGCCACATTCCTATGTCTTCTGCACTCATGGGTCTACCTGCCTTTTCTGGCAAGTTGTTTGGTCTTTTTTTTCTCCCATTATAAGGAGTTATCCTTTAAAAACATTTTTTTTAAGCTTTTAGTTGTTGATGGACCTTTATTTTATTTATTTATATGTGGTGCTGAGAATCAAACCCAGGGCCTCACACATGCCAGGCAAGTGCACTACTGCTAAGCCCCAGCCCCGAAAGGTATCCTTTTAAAATTGTTTTTTACAATATATTTTTTAGTTGTTGATGAACCTTTATTTTATGTATTACTTATATGCAGTGCTGAGGATTGAACCCAGTGACACACATGCTAGGCAAATGCTCTACCACTGAGCCCCAGCGCCAGTACAGGAAAGTCATGCTTTGTCTATTTTATTGTTGTAAATATTTTTGCCACCAGGTACAGTGGGCACACCTGTAATCCCAGTGGCTCAGGAGACTGAGACAGGAGGATAGCAAGTTCAAAGCCAGCTTCAGCAACTTAGCAAGGCCCTAAGGAACTTAGCAAGACCCTATGTTAAAATAAAAAATAAAAAGGTTGTGCTGGGGATGTGGCTCAAGTGGTAGCGTGCTTTCCGGGCATGCGTGGGGTGCTGGGTTCAATCCTCAGTACCACAAAAGAAATAAAATGAAGATGTTGTGTCCACTGAAAACTAAAAAATAAACATTAAAAATTCCCTCTCTCTTTCTTTAAAAAAATAAAATTAAATAATAAAATAAAAGGGCTGTGGATGTGGCTTAGTGATAAGCACCCCTGGGTTAAATCCCTGGTAATATATATATATATATATTTTTTTTCTCCAAGATTGGTCATGTTTTCTAATTTATAGTATAAAAATTTTCACATTAACTTTTCTGTCTTCACAGAAAAAAATCTCTTATGGGCTAGGGATATAGCTCAGTTGGTAGAGCGTTTGCTTCATATGCACAACGTCCTGGGTTCAATCCCCAGGACCACCAAAAAAGTAAACAAATAAATAGTCTCTTATGCCTTTAGGTTTTCTGCTAAAACATGCTTTCCCCTCCTCAAAATTACAGAATTTACATTTGCTTCTTAATTCAATGTTTTTACCTTAAATACTTCACGACTTGTAGTACACTGTATGTTTTCAGAAGTCTAGGTTTACTGGGAAACTGATCAGGAAGCCCAGTTCCCAGCACTACGGGCGTCTTGCCTGGGGCAGTTCACTTGTTACACTAGTGGGCAGCCAGGACCCATCACCAACTGCAGCTGAAGTTCTAGGCTGCTCTCCATGTCATGGTCTAAGGGTGCCACCACCTGCACAGTGTCACATGGAACAGTCAGGGCTCGGCCTCTACCCTCCCTGACCCTCGCTGGCCACCACTGGTCTTTCTACGCTCTCTGATATGTCCCCTCTGTTATCCCCTCTGTTACACTCTGTTATGCCCCCTCCCTTATGTCCGAGTTGGAATCCGCGTCTTTGCCTTACACTGTGCACCTATGTTTTCCCACATCCTTTCCTGTTCAGCAGCGCATTTCTTTTTCACTGGTAACAGTCCATGGACTGGATGGCCCAGGATTCACCCATTGGGCGACTGGAGGACATCCTGGCGGTGAAGCTGCTGGACATCTCTGCGGTGTCCTGCGGACCGGATTTCCAGTCCCCTGGTAAAAACACCCAAGGTGCTGGTGCTGGTGCTGGTAGGAACGTCTGGCGGCGGGCTGGGGGTAGAACTTTTACCCCAGCACGACGCCCGGGTCCCGCACACAGGTGTGCTCCGTGTCGTGCGAGACCCGCGGCTGCCCGGGAGGCAGGGCGGCCGGGAGGCAGCAGCCCCGCACGGGCCAGGCACACGCTCGCCGCCGAGCAGGTCTCAGAGTCGCCCAGGCTGGCCTCGAACGTGCCGCCCGGCCTCCCGGGTCGCTGTCTACCGGCCTCCCCAGCGGCGGGGACCTCAGCCGAGAGCCGCCGGCGCTCAGGTGAGGATCCTTCTTCGCCGAGCACGCACCTGCCTCGACGGCGGGGGGCGCGGGGACAGCGCGGGGGGCGGCCACAGCCCGCCCGGCACCGCCCGGGAACGGCGAAGGCACCGGTGCGCCCAGGTGCCGCCCACCGGAACGCGCACCGCCCGGACCGGAAGCGCAGCGGCCGCTCTAGCCTCCGGCCCTCGCTGACCGGGTCCTCCAGGGAGCCGCTGCAGCCCAGGTCGCGGCTCGGTTTCCGGGGCTCCACCGCCTCGGATATAGGATCGCAAATTCGAACCTCAGGCAAGGGACATTTTAGTAACTGGCCTGGCACATGGCGATGTGACCGCAAGATGCCTGGGGAAAAGGCATAGCTAGGGAAGGACACCGTTGGGGCCAAATGGCAACATGTGAATGTGAGCTATGACGTCGGTGATTGCGTTTTCTCCATAGCGAATCTCCTGCTTTTCCTTTTTTTGGAGGGCAGGGTGAGGGTGTGGTGCCGGGAACTGAACCCGGAGTTGCCCAACCAGTGAACTACATCCCCAGACCTTTTTCTTCTCATATTGAGGCAGGAGCTCCCTAACTTGCCCAGGCTGGCCTCCAACTTGAGGTCCTGCTGCCTCGGCCTCCGGTCGCTGTTTGCAGGCATATGCACCACTACGCCAGGCGAATTCCCTGCTTTTGATCACTGCTCTGCAGTAAGGTAGGAGAGTGTCCTTAGGTCCAGAACACACACTCGTATTTAGGGGTCAAGAGGCACGATGTCCCCCACCTAATCCCAGATGGCTCAGAAAGAATCGCGCGCAGAGAGAGAAACCCCGCGAAGTGCCTGCGGCTGTGTCTGAATGCGTGGCCTGTGGGAGTTCCTGGTAGTACTGCAAATTTCTCTAAATTGGAAATTTTATCGGAAAAAAAAACAAAACAACGAAAAACTCTCAATAGGTTAGTCGCCAAACCCTGGGGGGACGAGAAGGAAGCCCTTTCTCTTTCCCAGCTCTCCCACTACAGTCAGGTCACCGCTACTCAGCTTCCCCTGAGCACCTGGTCATTGATGTCCTCTACCCTTGAGGGTTCTTGGCGGAGGTCCGCTGTCAGGGGAGGGACACTGATTTCCCATGGACCCACAGTGGGGAGAAGGCTCCCTTGTAGCTTGGAAATCAGAGACACTCATGAGTGGCTCCTGTGAACGCCGGAAACGCCAGAGCAGTGGACCAGGCAGATGCGGGGGTGTGGTCACACGTTTATTAATACCTGCCCGCAGCAAGGGCGCGTCCTTTCCCCGGTGGGTTCAGTCTCGCCCGGCGTCTGCGGATGCCGCGTCGGCGTCCACATTCTCCGACTGTGAGGTGGGAGGAGGGGGGTCCCCGAACCGACTGGAGGGAAGCTCGGGGTTGAACTTTGCTGAGGGGAGAGAGTCCTGTGAGGCCGCAGGCAAGGAGGAGTGCGTAGAGATCCGAGACCCCTCATGTGACCTCGCCAGTGGCAAGGTCCTGGAGCTCGCTGACGACAGGGTCAGAGATGCGACCCGGGAACTGGGACGCGACGGGATCAAGGACGAGACCCGGGAGCCCGGGCGCGACGGGGTCAAGGACGGAACCCGGGAGTCCTGGCGCGTCACTGTTAGGGAAAAGGCCTCTAACCCTGCCTTCGAAGTGGCCAGCGAAGGGACCAACGATGATACGCGAGAAAGCGCACAGGACCTGGACGGGGGCTGGGAGGCTACGCGTGACGAGTCCGCCGATGTGGCTGGGGAGGCAGCGCGCGATCGGACCTCAGAGGCCCGGGAGGCTCCGCGCGACCGGCCCCTCGCGGTGACGGCATTTGATTCTGGGCGCGAGGTGGTTTGGGAAGAGACCGGGGGCTGCCAGAGCGGCGGGCCGTCGGGGCCCCTGCGCAGCCAGCCGTGCACGCGCGCCAGGTCCCGCGTATCCTCGTGCTCACGACGCAGCTGCTCACGCTGCTGAAGCAGCTGGTGCCGCATATTGTGCAGCAGCTGGGCCCTGCCGAGAAGCCGCAACAGCTCCTGCCTCAGGCGCCCATTGTCTGCTTTGATGGCCTGCGTATGTGTGATGAGCGCGCGCGTCGCCTCCCGCTCCGCGCGCCTGGCCAGAGACTGCACGCGCTGGCGAGCCTCACGCTCGCAGGCTGCCTTTTCCTCCAGAAAGCGCCGCTTCACGCGGTGGAGCAGCTGCGTGTGCTCCACGCGCATGTGCAGCAGCTCGCGCTCCAGCGTCCGGATCCTTGCCAGCTGCTCCAACTGCAGCTCCTGTGGCAGGGGCGCAGGTCAGCGCAGGAGCTCGACGCGCGCCCACCCAGACCAGCAGCCCCCGCCCCCACCGTCCGGTCCGCTACCGCACGCGTACTGGCCTTGTAAGGCTGCAGCTCCTGCACCTGCTGCGCCATCTGCGCTGCACGCGCCTGCATCTCCAGCAGCTGCGCACGCACCCCATCCTCGCGCCCCTGGTACAGAGACGCTAGTTCTGACCGCTCCCAATGGATCTGCCCCAGATCCACGCGGTTCTGCTCGTCTAGCCGCAGGACAGCGTTGGCACAGCGCTGCGCGCGTGTGTTTACAAAACTGGCGTAAAACCGATTCTCCTCGCGCAAGCGCCCTGCCTCGCGGTCCAGGAAGATGTTTTCCTGTAGCACCTGGTCCACGCGCCCCTCGCAGGCGTCCAGCTGCTCGGAGAGCAACGTGTACTCGCGCTGTAGGTATTGCGCGCGTTCCGACGGCTGTGGCTCTGCACCTTCACCCAGTCGGCGCCCTAAGTTCATCACGCGCTTCTTCTTGGGCGCCATGAGTTAGGACCTGGGGCACAGGGGCTCAGGAGGGCAGTGTTCGCCCCCACAGTCCAGTTTCTTCCTTTCCCCAAACCAGAAAAATCTAGGCCCCAGGTCCATGGATAGAATGCCTCCTAAGGTCACGAAGTCTGGGGAGGCAGAATCGGAGCAGCATTGCCAACCTGTACTCGTGGGTTCCCTCTGGTCCTTGGTTGTCCGTGTCGGGTGTTCCAACATTGGTATTCAGCCAGCAATCTCTATGGAGACAGAATTTAGCCGCCCTCCCCCATCCCGCCTCGTTGCTAGGGCAACACCTGGACTCTGCGGTTCCCGCCGGGCTCTCTCCTGTGTAGAGGCGACAGCTGCGCCCAGCCGAGGAGGAGAGGTAGAGGTAGATAGAGACAGGCAGGGTTCAGTTCAGGCCCTGGGACTTTTTTCCCCCAAAACCCACTGACCTGAGCAGCAGCCCCCACCCTCCACTGCCAGGCACTCACTGCCCTTCATACCACGGGCTCTGATTCCGGGTTCCCTCCCTCCAGCCTCAGCAGGCTCTTCCTCAGCTAGGCCTCCATGCTGTCCAGAGAGGCTCTGCACACGCTTCTCCTTTCAGGGAACCCTTGTCTCGAGGCCACCAGGGGCGGGGCTACTGGGAGGTGTGAAGTCCCTTCAGATGCTGTCCCCTGTAGCCAGTGGGCCATCTGCTTCTCTCTTGGATTCCTAAGGCCACCGGCAGGGCACCTGCCCAATTCATCCACTTCCCTTCCTGGAGGGGATAAGGGATACACTGGGGGTCAGGTATCCACTGACTCTGGAAAGACCTCCTAACTAGAAGAGGAGAGGGGCCTTCTGTGCCCGGAGGAGCCCTGGGCAGTCGCAAGGACCCAGCTTCCCATCCAGTTAGAAGCCTGGCAGGAGTGTGCTGGACAGCCTTTGGCAAGTCCTACGTCCACACTTGTGTCCTGTCATCATACAGTGGAATGTCTGCCCAGGTTTGTCCACATTGTCTGGGGATGGTCGGATTTGAAGATCCTCAAAATTCAGCTTTAGGAGCATCAGGGTCTAGTGAAGTCACACTTGAGTGAAGGTTTGTGTTGATGGCTCAAGTTGGTTTTAAAAGCTTGATGATTCACGTCACTGGGCTTGCTCAAGTTAGCCTTGTCGCTGGAAAGATGTGGCAGGGAACCACTCTGAATGACCACGCCTTCCAGTCCTGAAGCAGGAGGCTCTGACCAACCACCACATTTTATGACTTGGGCGTTGTCCCAGGTCCATAGCAAGGCGAGGCTCCAGGAGTATGACACCCGTGGGGGTGAGCCACACTCACCTGTTCCTTTGTAACCCTACCCTTTGCCCTTTTGGGGATAGAATGTTCCATGGAACCTTCTCTTGTGCGTTCCCCATATAAGAATAAAGAATTCCCGTGGCTGGCTCTCTTTCCAAGTTTGCAGAGCCGTCTACAGAATATTGAAAGAGGCATTTCTGTGTGGTTTCATGCTTTCTTTGTCGTTTTCTTGAGTTATTGGAATAGTCAGATTTGTGAACCCAGCACTGGGTCGCCAGCGGGGACAGATGGCAATAGCCTCTTAAAATCATGAGACAATTGAAGCATTTTTCTCCTTGTTAAGAAATGTATGACACAAACTGCAAGAAAATGCAGGTTTGGTGTTGTTTTTCAATGCAGGGGACTGAATCCAGGGCCTGGCACATGCTAGGCAAGTGCTTTACCGCTGAGCTGCAGCCCAGCCCCCAGAATCTGTCTGTTGTTCTGGGGATTGAACCCAGAGGCACTTTTCCACTAAGGTACATTCCCAGCATTTTTTTTTTTTTTTGAGGGCCTTGTTAGTTGTTGAGGCTGGCCTCAAAGTTGGGAACCTCTTGCCTCAGCCTCTTAAGATTTTAAAGCAACATTGACTCATAAACTCCAAGCAGCACCTGAAATTGACCTTAAGATGGGTTCTTATTTTATTTATTTTATTATCATCATTAATTTTGCAGAACTGAGGATTGAAGCCAGGGGTGCTTTACCACTGAGCTTCATCCCCAGCCCTTTTTATTTTTTGAGACGGGGTGTAGCTGAATTGCTGAGGGTCTCCCTAAGTCGCTGAGGCTGGTTTCCAACTTGCCATCCCTCTTGCCTTGGGCTCCTGATTCCTTAGGACTACAGATGGGCTTTGAATGCAAAAGGAGAGCCTGCTTACTAAGGAAGGGGGGGATCTGGAGGAGCTGGCCTGGCCCCTCAGCGGCCTTCTTTGTCCCTCTCCGGGTCCTGGGTCCTCACTAATGACCAGCGTTCTCTCTGGCGCTCTCCACCTCGCCGGCTTGGGGCTCCACAGATGGGAAAACCGGCTTCAGGAGGCGAGGCCGCCTGCCCGAGCTGCAGCCATCTGCAGCCTAGGGTCCCTCCTGTGTGTCCCATGCCTGCATACGTCTGCGGGGCCTTCTAACTAGGGTTGCCAGGAGCGGGATGGGTTCCTTAAAATTTCAATCACCAGGTTTCGCCGTGATCTGTCCTGATAGAGCTCAGGCGCCTCCTCTGGGAGGTGTCTGGCCATCATGGTCTCTGTCCAGCGGCCTCTGTTTTTCCCTTCTCAATTCTGCAACCCCCACAAAACGGTGCGAGAAGCCCCAGCCCGCCCCTGGCCGGCAGCCTGGAGGCTAAAGAAACCTGGCGCCCTTCCGGACCCCCAGCTCTGTCCGCCCACCTCCTGGCCAGGCCCAGCGCCCCAACCCACACCTTCCCTCTCGGCCTCTGCCCATCCTGGCCGGTGTCTTAGCTTCCACGCCTCTGGATGTCCAGGCCGCTAACTGCCGACTGCTGGGCTGTGCTTTTGACTCGCGGTGTCCACCTGCAGGAGGTGGCCTTGCGCTTGGCCTGCCACGCTGCTGGCCTCCAGGCCTGTGCGGTTTCTCCTGGAGAAATGGAGGGTATGTGGCCCGGAGGCGGGCGGCGGTGCCTCCCAGGAGCCCCAAGGCTTCTGTCAGCCTGGGAGGATGGCTGTCTGGGGTCTCCCATGTCCCACCGATGCCCCACCGTGAGCCACAGAGCTCATGGTCGAAGCTCCCCGATTCCAAGCAGGGTTAATTGTGGCATCTCCCCTATCCTTGAGGTCCTTCCACCTTCCCTCTGTGGACGGGTGCTGGCCTTTGTCCCCTGCTCCTGGGCCCTAAGCTGCGCCAGGCTCAGTCTGGGACTCCCTGGGCCCAAGGCAGGGCTGGAAGTCCCCTGGAGGAGGCCCTGCTGCTCACAGGGCCACAGGAACGGGTCCCCCAAGCCCTTCCTCTGCTGGCACCTGACTGAGGCCGGGTCACTTGGGGTCGCTCCTAGAACACTGCTCAGGAAGCCCCAGCTCTGCCGGAGGCCGCCCTCCCTCCCTGACCCTCTGTCCAATCTTCCTGAAAGTGCTTCCCTGCTGCTTTAGCTTTTTGTCACGGTGACCCAAATACCGAGAGATCAACTTAGAAGAGGCAAAGTTTATTTTGGCTCATGGGTTTGGAGGTCAGAGGACTCCACTGCTCTGGGCCCAAAGGGAGGCCAAACATCATGGTGAAGGACATGGCAAAGGCAGGCAGCTCAGGACATGGCCGTCAGGAAGCAGAGAGCGCTGCACTCTCCAGGACAACACCCCCAGGACACCCCAGTGGCCTGCCTGCTCCAGTCAAGCCCCACCTGCCTGCAGTCACCAGCCAGTCAGTCCACTTCAGGGGACCGCAACTCTCACAACCCAACCATTCCACCTCTGAAAAGGCTTGCACTGTCTCACGTGTGACTTGGGGGTGACCTCATCCCCTAAGACTTGCCGGGAGCCTACCACTCCCCAAGCAGCCAGCAGGGTTGGCTGCCGCCGCTCAGGTCGGAGCGCTCCCAGTGTCTCTCTCCCATTTCATAAATGCAGACACTGAGGCATGGAGTGACCTGGCCAAGGCCCCCCGGAAGCACTGGGGCTGGCCTTGGGCCTTTTGACCCTTCCTGCTTTTCCCACTCTTGGGGAGAGTACTCTCCTGTGCCAAGGGTCAAGGACAGCTGAGGCCAGCGCAAGCCAATGCCCACAGCCCTTCCACTTGCCAAGGACCACGCCATCTGCAGGGTTGGAAGAGGGTTCGGGTGATGCCTTGTCCCTTATCAGAAGCATGAATCTGATGGTGCCGACCATGGCAAAGGGCAAGGGGGCAGGACAGTCAGTGGAGTCCAGCGGAGCCCGTCTGCCCGCATCTCCAGCAGGCTCAAGCCCGGGGCCACCTGGCGGTCCCATGTGCCCTGAGCCCCAGCCTCCTTCCCTCTGTCCCTGCCAGCCTGGGCACCCATCTGAGGGGACACCAGGTCCTCCTCTCCCTGACCAGGTTCCTCGGGATCCGTACAGAACCCACAGTGAGCTTCAGGTGGAAGGTGCAGGCCCAGGCCACGGCTGCCCTAGAGAAGCACTCTGCCCTCTCCTGTCCAGAGAAGGCCAGGGCCAGGCTGCCACCTGCTTCCCAGGCACAACAACTGGCCTGAGCCCGGGGACCCCTAGGAGTTCTTGGAGCATATGAGGGGCCTGCTGTGGGCCTTCAGGCCAGGCGTCTGGGGCAGGGGAGTGGTCTAGGTTGGCTGCCTGGGGGTCTCCCAGGTGCTCACCACCTCTTTTGTGAGGGTTGAGTGACAAGAGAATTTCCAGGGTTCAGAGCATGGCACGGGCCTGAGGGTGAGGCCACCCTAAGTTCCCCAGGCGGCTGAGAGACACCCACCCCCAGGGGCAGTCATGAGGGGTGCCCTTCTCATTTCCAGGTCAAGCCAAGTGGCAGAAGAACCCAGGGTGGCCAGTGCCTGGGGCACCTGAGAGTGAACTCACTGGGAGCAGCAGAGAGGCTCTGGCCCCTTTGGAACTTGGTACTACAGGTGCCCAGCAGGTCCACCCCACTGGCATAAGGAGGCTGTGCCTCAGATGAGCTAGGCGAGGGGCGGGGCGGGGGCAGGACTCCACTGTCCCTTGGGGTCAGGAAGGGAGGCAGCCCACACAGTGGGGCCAGTGCCCGTGGCTGACGGCCGGCCGGGGAGGTGGGGGCCCTGTGAGTATGGAATTCTGGGTCGCAGGGAGGCGGCAGGAGAGATGGCCGGGGGCCCCTGCTATACTGCTCCCCCTGGGAATTTGACTCCTAGCCCCAGCGCCCACTGACTCAGGGTCTCTGCCTGGGCTTTCCCAAACCACCATGACTTCTCTGCACATGGCTGAAAATCAAACACAAAGTCCAGGTAGACGCTGCGCCCACAGTAAAGCGGAAGGCTAGAGCTACCCGTGATCGTGAGTCACAGGGGACGGGAGGGAAAATCCTCGTCCTGAAGTTTTGTCTGCAAGGATACTTAGATGGGGGAAAGTGGGACTTGGTGGAAATAGTCCCCAAGAGAGAACCATGACCGAGTGAGACAAACAGCTGTGAACAGCAGCCCTGCAGCCCAGGGTGAGATGGGAAGAAGCACACACTCGAAAAACAGCCAGCACCCGCGGAGAAGTCGCGCCTGGCCTGCCCTCCCAGGAGCTCACAGGAGGATCACCGGCTGCAGTCCAGCCCAGCAACTTGACAAGACCCTCAGCAACTCATCGAGGCCCGTCTCCATGTAGACAATAAATGAATAAGCTGGGCGCCGGCACATGCCCGTAATCCCAGCGATTCAGGAGGCTGAGGCAGGAGGATCACAAATTCAAAGCCAGCCTCAGCGATTTAGACAGGCACTGAGCAACTAAATGAGACCCTGAATAAAAATGAAACAAATAAATAAGTAGAATTTAAAAGGGCTGGGGATGCAGCTCAGTGGTTAAATACCCCCCCTTCAATTCTATTACCATAAATAAATAAACAAGCAAGCAAACAAGCAGGCGGGAATGTAGCTCAGAGGTAAAGTGTCCCCAGGTTCGATACCCAGCACCCAAGTAAGTAAATAAAATTTCAGTAAAGTGAAAAACAGAAAAAAGCTGGAAATGACTTAATTTTGCCTTGTAAAACCCATTTGACTCTTAAGTCCACTGAGGTTCACCCTGAAGAATCGCTTTTTGCTGAGAACTCACTGAGGTTGGTGTGACCCTGCTTACTGAGCGCTTTGTCCCCAGAGCTGCATGGCACGGTCAGGCGTCCTCCACACAGAAGGAGTGAAGGCCGGCCGGGATGTGGCCCAGGCTGGCCTCAGACTCCTCCTTCGGTGGCCACGCCAGGCTTCCAACTGCTCTTGGTCACATTTACTCAGGCTTCTGAGCCGCCTGCAGCCCATCCCAGCCCTGTCCCACAGTCCCCCTCCTTTCCCCTCTGTGCCCTGGATTCTCCTCTCCGTCAGGCTGCAGTCATACTGATATTGATCATGTTTGGGGTCCCGCCCACTTGTCCATCTCAGAGGTCAGGCTGCCCTGAGGAGCTGCCCTGTTCCTGTTTAAGGTGGGGCCCCCTTTCAGCTGCATTCGGCTTATTCAAAGACCCAGCTCTTAGTTTTGTTGGTTTTCTTTCTTCCTGGTTGACTTTTGGTTTCATATTTCCACTCTGATCTTTACATTTTCTCCTTTTTACCTCCTTGGGGTTTGACTTTTTTCTTGTAGCTTCCGGTGGTAGAAACAGAAACCTCTTTTCTGTGCGTCTATAAGCATTTAGAGCTTCCCACTTCCCTCTGCCCGTTGGGCCTTCTACAAATCCTCACCGACAGGTCTCGGGGCCTGACAGTCCAGAACAGTTCCTGTTGCTTGGGGGAGGGCTACTGCAGACAGCCCAGGTGCTTTACCCCTGAGCCACACCCCAGCCCTTTCTGACGTTTTGAGACGGGTCTCACTAAGCTGCTCAGGACCTCACTCAATCTTCTCAACTCAGCCTCTAATTTTCTTTTGAACCATTTTTTTTTTAGCAGTCTGTGGCTTAAGCCTAAATCCTCAGCAATTTTCTAGATGTCTTTCTGCTATTCATTTGTGTATTTGCTTTTGCAGTGTTGGGGTGGAAAGCAGGGCCTCACACATCCACTGAGCTACATCCCCCCCCCCGTTATTAATTTCAAATCCAATTCTGTGGGATGATCTCAACTATTTTAGATTTACTGAGTTTTGTTTTACAACACAATTGTAAATAAAATATGGTTTATCTGGCGAATGTTTCATCCACAGGTAAAAAGAATGTGTATATCTGCTGATTATTTATTTTCTTTCTTTCTTTTTTTTTGGGGGGGGGGTGTCCCGGGGATTGAACCTAGGGGCACTTACCCACTGTGCCACATCCCCAGTCCTTTTAAAAATTTTTTAAGATGTTGATGGACCTTTATTTTATTTATTTATACACAGTGCTGAGAATTGAACCCAGTGCCTCACACATGCTAGCTAGTGCTCTACCACTGAGCCACAACCTCTGCCCCCTCTTTTTTGTATTTTATTTAGAGACAGGGTCTTGATGAATTGCTTAGGGCCTCACTAAATTGCTGAGGCTGGCTTTGAACTTGTGATCCCCCTGCCTCAGCCTCCCGAGCCACTGGGATTACAGGCGTGCACCACGTATCTGCTGTTTCTGAGAACCTGGAAGGTCAGGTCAAGTTGGTTGTGGGAGCCACTCTGAAGGATTCACATTCTCCATCCTGGAGTGGAGAGGCTCTGACTGGTCACTACATCTTGTAGTGACCTGGACATTGCCCCGGTCCGTGTCTTCAGACATAGGCGTGTAACCCCTTGGATTGAGGTAGGCTCACCTGTTCCTTGGTAATCCTACCCCTTTGGGTGTGGCCTCCCTAGATGTCAGTCAACCTGCTGACAGCAGACATCAGGAAGCTGGACTCAACCCCTGACCCCTGGCCTCATTTGAATAACAAAAGGGTCAGCTTGTGCTGGCTCTCTTTTTCCATGGACCCCTAAGGTCAGAGGAGCCGTCACAGAAAGAAAGAGGTCTCTCTGTCTCTGGTGTGGTCATTCCGTGCAGCCCAGTTCCGCTCGAGTGACCCTGAGTGTTTTAGTCGTGAGGAACGCGACGTGGGGTGAGTGTCGCTCAGGATTATCACCTCCTCACTTTCTGCTTCCCTGTTTGACGTTATTAAAAGAGGGAGGTTAAGTCACCAAGTGCAGCTGTAGGCCTGACCATTTCCCTTTCCCGGGACATTGGCTTCAGGGATCTGGAGGTGTTGGCAGGTGCGCCCCCTCAGGACGGTGGGCCCTGCTGTGGGTGGTGCTTTTCGTGATGACCTCTTCTTGTCCCTGGCCTCCTCCAGGCCTGGAGTCCACTCTGCTACTGTCATAACAAGGCTCTCTGATCATTAGTGCGTGCGTGACGTATCTTTCTCATCCTTCTGACTTCATGTCTTTGTGGTCTAAATGCATTTCTTGTATAATTATATATGTACAGCTTGTAGTTGAGTCATGTGTCTGTGTCATGATTCATCATGTATAATTTGTATAAAGTAGATTCTCTGATTTTAATTTTTGAAAATAAGGTCATGCTCTCTGCCTTCTAACTGGAGTATTTAGACCATTTATATGTGTGATTATTGATACGGTTAGGGCTAAGTCCAGCATTTTGCTATGTTTTCTGTTGGTTCCTCCATTCCTTGTTCCTTTTCCTTATTTTTCTGCCTTCTTTTTGATCAAGTGAGTACTTTTTAATTTTCTAGACTATCGTCTTGGTAACTATATCTCTTTATGTATATTTGTTTTATTTAAGATGAAGATCTCATCTTTAACCTAGTCTATCTTCAAATAATATCATAATACTTCACATATAATTTAAGAGCCATACTATATATAATAGTGTATTATTTTATAATAATAAAAATGTGTGGTTCCTTGGGCTGGGGCTACAGCTCAGTGGTAGAGCCTTGTCTCGAACACGTTTGATCCTCAGCACCACATAAAAATAAATAAGATATTGTGTCCATTTACAACTAAGATAATATTTCAAAAAATGTATAGTCCCATTTCTCCCTTTGTATTTGGTGCTACTGGAATCATACATTTTAATTCTACAAGTTATGGCTTTCACACTATATTATTATTTCTTTTTTAAAAATATTTTTATTTTTTATTTATTTATTTTTTTTTTGAGAGAGAGAGATTTTTGATTTTTTTTTTTCTAGTTCTCTGCGGACACAACATCTTTCTTTGTGTGTGGTGCTGAGGATCGAAACCGGGCCGCACGCATGCCAGGCGAGCGCGCTACCGCTTGAGCCACATCCCCAGCCCTATTACAAAATATTTTTAGGCTGGGGATGTGGCTCAAGTGATAGCGCACTCACCTGGCTTGCATGGGGCATTGGGTTCGATCCTCAGCACCACATAAAAATTAAAATATTGTGTCCACCTAAAACTAAAAAAAATAAATATTAAAAAAATATTTTTAGTTGCAATATATAATTGAATTATGTATCTGTGTGCATAATTCATGCAATATATAATTTGTATAAAGTATATTCTTGGATTTTAATTTTTGAAAATAAGTTCATGATCTCTGCCTTTGGCTATATTTCTTTATGTGCATTTGTTTTATTTAAGATAAAAATATTTATTTTTTTTTTGTGTGGTGTCTCACACATGCGAGGCAAGTGCTCTACCCCTGGGCTACAACTCCAGCCCCTGTTGCTATTATTTTTACTCTACCACTGAGCTACACCAGTCCTTCTTTTTTAAAATTTTGAGACAGGGTCTGGCTAAGTGGCTCAGGCTGGGCTTGAACTTGCCATCCTCCTGCCTCAGCCTCAGAGTGTCTGAGATTACAGAGACACCATGTCTGACTTATGTTCAAATTTTCCAGAAACTGCCTAATTGCCTCCCAAAGCAGTTGCAGCCTTCTGTACTCCTGTGAGCAGGGTGGGAGCACCCTGTCCTGCCCACCCCCTGCAATGCTTCAGGTCAGTCCTGCAGCTACCACTCCAGCAGGCACATGTGGAATCTCACAGCTCACAGACATGACTGCACCTGGCCACCAGTGGCCATGCATGCCCTGGCTTGCCTCCTGCCATGCTGGTTGCTCCTTACTAGTTTCCAGCACATCCCAGTAAGAGTTTGTGATAGGTCTACAATGAACCAAGGGAGAAATGTAGAGGAAGTTAAAAACTCTTACAATTGGAGCACAGGGTGACTTTTACCACTGTTCAATCTAGTAAAAAAAAAAAAAAAAATATATATATATATATATATATGTGTGTGTGTGTGTGTGTGTGTGTGTGTGTGTGTGATTTACTTTTGTATGTCTGTGTTTTTAATTTTTTTCCTAGCAATTTATTTTTGCTATATTTTATGAATTATTTCTCTGCAACAAACTTCAAGTTTCTTTCTTTCTTTCTTTCTTTTGGGTCCCAGGTAGGAACCCAGGGACACTTAACCACTGGGCCATCCCCAGCCCTTTTTAGTTGCTTAAACTGACTTTGAACTTGCCATCCTCCTGCCTCAGCTTCCCCAGCCAGTGGGATTACAGGTGTGCACCACGGGGCCCAGATTCCAAGTTTTCTAAAAAGCTAGTCTACACAGTTTGGGAATCTGGCTCTGAGTACCAGTCAGAATTTGGGTCCCTCCAAAGTCATGTCTTTCAAACATTTCCACTGGGATGTATAACTAGCACCTTGACCGTGTCCTTTGTTTTGTGGTGCTGGGGGTCAAACCCAAGGCCTGCCCAGGTTAGGCAGGAACTCCTGCACTGAGCTGCCCGGGGTGCGTCTTAAACCTAACTGCCCCAATGCCCGGTCTCCAGCTAATCCTGCTCCATCCAGCGCCTGCTCCAGCCAGCCCGGTCCTTCCAGAACCCACCAAGAACCTAGGAGTCGAGACACCGGTGTCCCGGCCTGCAGCCCGTCTAGGGTCTCCTGAAGCCGGAACCACCCTCGTGCGCCCCTCATTCCCGTGCTGGGTCGCGCGTCCCACCGTGGAGGCCTCTCTCGCAGCAACAGCCTTTGTGCTTCGGCCCTCCGTGTCTTGGTGTCACTCCCGCCTCTGCGCCCCCTCCCCTGAACTCCTTCAGGGTGCAGGACGCTCCCGCTCCTTCTCTGCCCGCCCGACGGAGCGCTCCCTCGTGCCTGCTGACTGCCACCCCTCCAGCGTGGTTCCCGCAGTCACTGCGGGGGGAGGCCGGCCGCGGGGCTCCCCAGGACCTGCGGTGCCCAGGCGCGCACGCACTGGGGAGGCTGCGGTGCCGGCGAGCGCCCTGGCCGCCAGGCTCCGGGATGGCGGGCGCTGCCTGCCAGCGGCGCCCCAAGCTACTGCCACCGTCACAGAGCCGGGAGGAGCCAGGCGGGAGCAGGGTGGGGCGACGGAGGAGGGCGCTGCGCCGCGGGGACGCAGGTGGCTCCCTGGGCGGCGCGCACCGGGCAGAACGGTGTGGCGCCCGGGGCAGGTGCGGCCGCAGACCACGCCCACCGGCGCTGGCGCGGGGAGGTGCCGCCCCGGGTTCCCAGGGCAACCCGTCAACAGGTCGCCCCCACGGTCAGCGGAGCCTGCAGGCCCGGGCGCCGCCATGTGTGCCGCGGAGGTGGACGCTCACGTAGCCCAGAGATACCTGCTCAAGCGGCGGCTCGGGAAGGGGGTGAGTGCGAGGGCTGGAGGGGTGCCATGACGGAGGTCCCCAGCCCCTGGTGCCTCAGTTTCCTCATGGAAGCAAGCGGTGACCAGCTAGGGACTTTTTCCCGGAGGCCGGTGATGGATAGGGCCCCCGAGCGGTCTCAGGCCTGAGGAGCCTAGTGTGTCACCTCTCCTGGTGCACACACAGCAGATGCTTCTGGGAGGTCCGGACACTTCAGTCGCTGAGTGGAAGGGTGGACCCTGGCAGGGCCCAGAAGCGCAGGGCCAGGGCGAAGGCTAGGGCTAGGAAGGCATGAGCCAGTGTAAGGGGTGGGAGTCGGAACCGCTGGTGGGGTCGTGTGTATTCGCATTGAGAGTGGGTGTGAGCTTGTGCAGCTCTGTATGTGAAGGGGACATGACTGGACAGTGCAAACAGCAGGTTCAAAGGCCCTGGGGCAACGACTTGCTTAGCTGTTGGAGAAACCACTCAGTTGTGTGTGAGTGAGTGGAAGGGAAACAGGGGGTGGATACTGGGATTGTGGGGTCGTGAGGGATCCTGTTGCATGAGGGCTTCTGGCAACAGCCAGGACTTTGACTTACTGTTATCCACAGCTGGGAGTTGTAGGAGTCGTTTATACTCTCTTTACAACTCCCACCTGCCTACTCTGGAGGATTCACCTTGGGGTGGTAGGCAGAAGTGCTAGGAGACTAGGTAAGAGGGCAGGGTGGTGATCCCTGGAGGCACAGGCCAGGGCAGGGGCAGCAGGGAGGGCAGGAAGTGGTGAGATAGGGTGAGTTCTCAAGGCGAGTCCCCGGGACTGGCTGAGCCGCTGGATGGGTGTGGGAGACTCCCAAAGATGGAGGGGCTTCTGGTCTTGTCCAGAGCGCCCTCCTGTGGCCTGTGCCCCCCTGCACCTCTCCAGCTCTCACCCACTCCCTGACCCCATCGCCCAGTGTCCTCCTGGGATCCAGGCCTCCCTGCAGTCCAACTCTCCCTGACCCAGGGTCCAGAGCGGGAGGGGGGCAGCCTGAGTGGGCAGGGGTGGCTGGTGGTGGGCTAGCCCCGGGCCCAGCAAGTTGAGAGCACTCTCCCCAGGCCTACGGCATTGTGTGGAAGGCAGTGGACCAGAGGACTGGTGAGGTAGTGGCCATCAAGAAAATCTTCGATGCCTTTAGAGACCAGACAGATGCCCAGGTGAGTGGTGGGTGTCTGGAAGCACAAGCGGTACGGGGGCTGTCGGAAGGTTTGGGGCCCTGGTGTTTCTGGCGCAGGGGGTGTTTGGGTGACAAACAGCCCCTTTGGGTATCTCTGTCTCTTCCAGAGAACATTCCGGGAAATCATGCTCCTCCGGGTGAGTGGCAAGGCTGTGGGGCCTACTTCCCTTTCCCAGGGGCAGTTCTTCCCAGAAAAGAGGGGAACTGGCCCCGTCACTCCCAGCGCAAGTCCCGGGCCTGAAATGACTCTCCACAGGAGTTTGGAGACCACCCCAACATCATCCGCCTCCTGGATGTGATCCCGGCAGAGAACGACAGGGACATTTACTTGGTGTTTGAGTTTATGGGTGAGCGAGGCTGTGGTCAGCTCCTGCCCCACTCTGTGCTGATCCTAGGACTGCCTGTGTCCCTCTGCTGCCCAAGTCCCTGTTGTGGCCAGCACTCACATTCTGTGTCCTGAACCTGAGGAACCACCAGCGCCCCGTGGGAGCTCCTGTCCCCACCCCGCACCGTCCTGCTGTGTTTGGAGCTACTTTCACAATTTTCCACTCATTTTATAAAACAAGGGCAACATGAAATGAAGTGCTGCGATGATTCCTCAAGCCCTTACGGCTGTGCAGACAGTGAGCAGGACGCAGAAGCACCAAGGTCCAGGCAGGGTTAGTGGCACAGCGAGTTCTACGGGCCCTGACTGACCCGCACACCCTTCCTGCCCCCCAGACACTGACCTGAATGCTGTCATCCGGAAGGGCAGCGTGCTGGAGGACACCCACAAGCGCTTCATCTTCTACCAGCTCCTTCAGGCCACCAGGTTCCTGCACTCCGGCCACGTCATCCACCGGGATCTGAAGGTTGAGCCCACGCTGCCACCACGCGGCCCCAGCTCCCATCCCGTGTGCACCCCTGGCCCTCTCGGCCCTCAGACCACCTGTCTCTCCAGCCATCCAACGTGCTGCTGGATGCCAACTGCCGGGTGAAGCTCTGCGACTTTGGCCTGGCTCGCTCCTTGAGCAACCTGCCCGAGGGGCCTGAGGGCGGGGCCCTGACCGAGTATGTGGCCACTCGCTGGTATCGCGCTCCAGAGGTGCTGCTGTCCTCGCCCTGGTAACAGTGAGATACCTCTGACCCACCCCACCCTCTCCCCCAGATCCCCCGGCCTGCCCTCCTGTTCTGATGGGGACCCCAGGCCTTCTTACACCTGGGCCCACCTACTTGTCCACACCTCACCTCCAAGCCCCTGTACCTTCACCTCTGCCTCTGAGCTCCCCTTGCCCACACCCCTTCCTGCCCAGGTACACCCTTGGGGTGGACATGTGGAGCCTGGGCTGCATCCTGGGAGAGATGCTGAGAGGGCAGCCCCTGTTCCCGGGCACCTCCACTGTGCATCAGCTGGAGCTGATCCTGGAGACCATCCCGCCGCCGACTGAGGAGGGTGAGCACGGGGGGTTCAACTGGGCACCCAGAGGCTGAGGGCCAGAGAGTGCAGCTGTGGGGAGACAGTGCTCGACCGGCCAGGACTCTGCAGGAAGAGGGTCCGGAGTAGGAGCCCTGGGAAGACTGGAAAGGGCAGGCCCTGGGCAACGGAGGGCCCAGAAAGCAGCTGCCAGGGCCAGGGTGGGGAGACTGCAGATGGCGAAGGAGGCAGGACTGGCCACAGGGCCAAGTGGCCACGCAAAGGGGCCAGCCAGGTGGGGGCAAGGTCCTCACCCTGCTCAGGGGTATGGGGTGCAGGGCTGAGCACTCCCGTGCCGGGTGCAGCATGGGCACAGAGCCAAGCAGAGCAGGGGGTGCAGAGAGAAGAGGGGAGGCTGTTGTGGGGGTGAGGCTGTGGCAGGGGGATTACTCCCAGAACCCAGGGGAGAGCCTGCTTGCTCCCAAACCTCTGCTCTGCAGGGGAGAGGCCGTCACGGGCTGGGATGTGAGGGTGCAGGGCAGGTGTACCTGTGGGCACCCATCAGCTCAGAGGGGCTCATGGGGCACAGGCCTAGCTTTGGGTGGGGTGGAGCGCCACCAGATGTCAGAAGCCCTGAAAGAGGCTGCAGTCCTGGGCGTCAGAAGGGATGGCTGGCCCCAGAAGGCCCTGAGCTGTCCCACCCCCGCAGCCACACCCGGTCACACCTCCCCCCCCACAGACCTCCGGGCTCTCGGCGCAGGCTACAGCTGCACCTTGCTGCACCTCCTGGGATCCCGGTGAGTGGGGTGCTCAGATGTGGGGCAGGGAGGCCGGCTCAGGAGCCAGCCAGCTTCCTGTGCCTGGCACAAGGGCCCGTCTGTGCCTGTTGGGGTCATGGTAAGAGTGAGGAGACCCCAGCATTGCCGTAGCTCTGCCAGATGAGGGTTCTGTGGGGAGAGCCCCAAGGGTTCCCCACGGGAGGCCTGGAGAGGAGACTGAAAGGTGAGGCAGGGGTCTCTCCCCACTGCCTGCAGGTCTGGCACAGACAGATCTGGGGAGGGGGCCCTGGGGGGCCCTGGAGAAGAGATGACAGGCAACTGCCCGCAGGCCACAGCAGTCGCTGGATGACATCCTGCCACCAGACACGCCCCCAGACGCCCTGGACCTCCTCAGGAAACTTCTGGTGTTTGCCCCCAGCAAGCGGCTCAGCGCAGCCCAGGCCCTGCAGCACCCCTACGTGCGGAGGTAGGAGGGTGGGAAGGCCGCCCTGGGGCCCAGGGTCCAGCCCCGGCTGAGGGGGGGGGGAGCCCGAGGGGCTCCGGGCTCCTGCTCTGCAGTCCAGGTCTCACCTTTCTCTGACCCGAAGGTTCCACTGCCCCAGCCGTGAGTGGACACATGACTCGGAAGTGTGGCTCCCGGAGCTGGAAAGAGACCAGCTCTCTGCCTCCGAGTATCGCAGCCGCCTCTACCAGGTGCTCGGGCCTCCACCTCGACTGCCCCCTCTCCCTGTGCACCCTGGAGTCCACCTGACTCAGGGACAACTAGTGCTCCCCTTGCCCACACCACGCACCTCTGAACACCCTCCCCTTCCGCAGATGATCCTGGAGAGAAGGGGCCACAGCCGTGGGCCAAGAGAGGGAATCTTGGGGAGCACTGCCTTGGGGCCAGAGCCCAGGACTTCCTGGGCTCGGGGGCACCTGTTCCATCACAGAGCCGTCCCCCAGATCACGTCCCGGATGCCTGTAAGGAACCCTGGTTCCAGGCCTCAGAGTAGCCCTGATGGTGACCCTGAGCAGGGTGTGTGAACTTTGTCCACTTCCCAGGTGGAAGAGGATCCCTGGTCCTGTGTGTGGGGCCACCCAGGTGCAGAGGGGATCTAACTCTGGGGGTTGATCTCCAACCCCACAGAAGCCTCTGGTGCAACCAGGAACATGCCTAGACCGAGCGTGGCACCCCAGCCCCAACCTCTGCCCCCAGGAAGGTGGGAAAGGTCCCCTAGGACTAAGGCAGAGCCCCCCTGTGCACCTCCAGGGGTAAGTCATGGCGTGTGGGCCTGGCAGGAGCCTCCCACTGTGCCTTTTAGTGATCTTGTGACATGCGCCTTCCCAGATCAGTAGCTTGAGAGGCATGGCACCCTCCCTGACCTTGCAGGCCGCAGCCCAGGCCACCAACCAGGCCCTGATCCGCAGTGACTGGCCCCTGAATGGTGGGCTGAGGGCAGCTGGTGGGCGACAGGTGAGCCTGGCAGTCTCTCCCGGAAGCCTGTGTGCCCACTCGCGCCCCTTCCCTCTGATAATGACTCTCCCTGCTGGCAGGTCTCACCCCGGCCCACCTGGGAGGTTCTGGAGCCCCGACCAGGCCGCAGGATGTTCGGCACCTCAGCCTGGCAGGGGGCCCAGGGAGCTGCCAGGGCTGCGCTTGGGGGCTACTCCCAGGCTTATGGGACAGTGTGCCGCTCAGCGCTGGACCGCCTGCCCTTGCTTCCTGGACCTCACGCGTGAGGGGCCCACGTGCCTCGCCGCCCTGCCGCAACACAGCGCTCTTCCTCCTTCCTTTGCTGGGCTGCATCTGAGTTCTGGGAGCTCCCCTGGGCCTCTCTGGGGGAGCAGACACGGTCTCCCCAAACCTGAAGACTGTTTTGAATAAAGCCCTCTGTGTCAGCCCACTCTGGGGTGGGGCTCCTTCCTCGGCCACACCCCCAGCTGCCATGCCCCAGCCCTTTCTTGGAGCCCACCTTCTTCCGAGGACCGACTCTCCCCATCTTGAAACCTCCACCGCAGGTCCAGGATAGGACTGCCCCTCGGTACTCTGTCACCCTGCAGCTCCCGGCCAAGAGCACCCCACCCAGGGCTTCCCTCTAGACCAGGGCCACCCAAGACTGGCCGGGAGGGTGACCTGGAGCCAGCTTCTGGCCCATGGCCTTAGGTGCCCTGGTGCCTGCCGCTTGCCTTTCTCTCTGAGCACCGTCAGAGCCCAGACCCTGCTACAAGGCCCAGGCTGCCCCCAGGATGGCCCCGTGGCTCGGGGATTTGTGAACTCATTGTCTGCCTAGGTCCAAACCACCCTGTGACTGCAACTCTGAGCCACAAAGGGAAAGTGGTGTCCCTTTCCCGCCCTAAAACCTTGCTGGTGACTGCAGCCTGCGCACCACACACGGTGGCCCCTGGTGTGTGTCCAGGTCTTGGTAGGAGGTACTACCTCTAGTTACTGCCAGAGAGCCTGGTGTGAGTCCAGGCCAGCAGTGTGAGGGCTGAAGACGGAAGGGCCAGTGAGTGTCCTGGGTGCTGCTCGTCCACCTGACCCTGGGCTGGCTGGCAGAACACAGGAAGGCCACTCCCCCAGGTGTTGCTGGCAGAGCTCACCTCTGAAGTGACTGGCTCTGTGAAGGAAATGGGCAGGAAGGACCAGGCTTGGGCAGGGGCAGGGGACACTGGCCTGGGCTGCAAGGTTGGGAAACCACCTGCACCTGGCTGCAGTCACCAGCAAGGTTTTAGGGCGGGAAAGGGACACCACTTTCTCTTTGTGGCTCAGAGTTGCAGTCACAGGGTGGTTTGGACCTAGGCAGACAGGAGGCCCATCATGGAGCCAAGTGGCTGGTGGCCCGAGTGGGCTGCTGGGGGCAGGGGTGTTTCCAGAGTCGCGCACATAGCCCCAAAGGGAGAAGAGCGGGCTGCGGAAGTCCTGTGGGCAGGGAGCTGGGCAGCAGGACAGGAGCTGCAGGGTCGGGCTAGGGGTGGCTCCTGGGGCTGGGGACCAGGGAGCCCCAGGTGAGTGCTCCCAGAGTGCCTAGAGAGGGCTCAGGTGAGGTGGAGAGGCTCTGCACTCAGAGGTGTGGTCTCGAGTGCTCCTGGCAGGGCAGGAGGGGCAGGTCCCGGGAAGGCCCTAAGGCTAGTGGTTGCAGTGTGTTGGGGCCATTGTTTTTGTTAATGTCAGAGTGTGCAGCAGCAAGTTCCAGTGTCTAATTGTCCAGACATAGAGGGTGCAGCGGTTCCCCTCCTTCAGGGGAGAGCCTGTCCACTCTGAACAGAGGCACACTAGGAGACCTGGCCACCAGCAGAAGCCGGACAGCAAGCACAAGGCCACGAAAGGCTTGAGCTCTCCTGGCTCCAGGGAGGCCGCCTCCTGATCTGAAGTCCCTGTGGTCACCCTTCCTGAGCAGTGGCTCCGGGACCCAAGCACTGAGTGGTCTGCCTAGTCCCCGGCTCTCCCTCCTCCAGCGGCCTAAGGCAGAACCACCCCTCCGCTTACTGTCGCGTTTCTCATACCCTTTCCCTACTGGGACTTAAATTTTAAATTGAAACAAATCTGAAAAGAAACAAGAGAACACAGAAACCCTTTCACAACATAAGCCCCCACTAGCAGGGCCTTTCTAAGCATTTGGTGACAAAACATGTCATTCCCCAGCAATTAAAATGATTTAGTGGAGTTGGGCTCGGTGGCACAGGCCTGTAATCCCAGTGGCTCAGGAGGCTGAGGAAGGAGGATCCCGAGCTCAAAGCCAGCCTCAGCAACTTAGCAAGATCCTGTCTCATAAAATTTAAAAGGGCTGGATGTAGCTCAGTGCTAAAGTCCCCCTGGGTTCAATCCCTGGTACCCCCTCCTCCCCCCAAAAATTAACGGAGATGGAAGAATGGTAGACCAGGAGTGTCTCCGACAGATTCTGCGTGTTGGTGATGAAACAGGAGAGGATCAAGGGCAAGGTGGAGCTAGGGTCTTCTGGGCACCTGCAGGGCAAGGGTCACCCCACTGGCGGGATCCCCAGGACCTCTGCCCTGGGGAAGGTGGCCAGAGCTCAGGCCCCACCCCATGGGACAAGCGTGCCACATCCCACCCTTCTGGGGTGGAGCCACTTGATGAGACTTGGCTTCAGGATGTCAGTCCAGACTCCATTTTATTATGCTGCAGAGCCCAGGACTCGCCTCCTGGTGTCGCCCCTGGCCACCCAGGACTTCACTGTGTGAGGGGCAGACTTGGCTGAGGCAGCTGCAGTTTGGGCAGCAGGGCAGCCCCTCTGGGGTCCCCTTCATCCCTCCTTCTCAGAGGCCTGCCCTGTGCCTCCCAAGAAAAGCTTCCTTTGGGCCCAACCACACTCTTCCTTTACAAACCGTCTGCAACAGCCCTTCCTTCCCCACAAGAGGACGGGCACAGGAGGAGGGAGCCAGTGGAGGGCAGGGGTGAGGAGGCAGGGTGGAGTGGCTGGCATCAGGCACAGGTCTGAGAGCCCTGAAAACGGAATCCCTGAGGAGACAAAGACCCCTAGAGACGGGGAGACTGAGGCACAAGTGTGGGTCCCTGCAAGCAGGACAGAGGCACAGAGAAGGGTCCCTGAGGTGAGTGAAGGTCCAGAGGGGATCTGAGCCCAGGGAGATGGGAGAAGCAGGAGAGAAGGGTGCTGAGGAGCAAGGGTTGGTGAGAAAAGGCACCAGGCCGCGGACTGACACCTGGGGAGGGCAGGCCAGGGCCAGGGCAGGGCAGCTGCCAGGGAAACCCACGGAAGCTGAGCTCCGGTGGGTCCAGTCCGGCCCCTTGGCTGCTCTGGAATGAGGGATGGTGGCTGCCACTCAAACCTGGGGACACGGAGCTCCCTGCCCAGCGGATGCAGGGTGGCAGTGACGAAGCACCTGGGCCTGGGCTGGTGGACCAGGACACTCACTTCTTGCCCTTGAATGTACCCAGGATCTTGGGCACAAACTTGCCCACCTTGCTGTCCCTGGCATCCTCCTCCGCCAGGCCATCCCCTGCCCCAGAACCACCAGCCTCTTCCTTTTTACAGAAGACCTCAAAGCGGCTGTAGACGCGCTTCTCCTTGCGCATGCTTTCCATGCGGCGCAGCAGGCGGTCGCGGTCCTCTGCGCTGGCAGGTAGGGTGCGGCTCAGCCGGCCTTGTGCACCCAGACTGTCTGACCGGAAGATGGCTGAACATTTGTCCTTGTCGGACATGTCTGGGGCCAGGCCTCCAGGAGCTGGTGAGTGGCCCAGCTCAGGGCTGCTGTGGGCTGGGCCTGGGCCTGGAACCCCACGATGCTTCTGACCGTGGGCGCTGATCTGCTCCAGAATGGCCTTAGTGTCATCTCGGAGGTTGCTGCTGTATAAGGCATTGGCCGTGGCAGAGGACAGCCGTGCCCTTGGGCCCCGCTCATCCCCTGCAGTAGCCTCTGTACTATCACCTCGGCCCAAGGATGGTCGCCGGGGACTCTCTGGCTGCCCATTCTCCTGTGGCACTGGGAAGTTGCCCTCATCCTCTCCGCGACGCTCATTCTTGGGGCTCAGCAGCTGCCTGAGGCGGAGGGAGCCTTTGCGCAGGACTTCCATGGGGCCTCCAGCCACCTCCTCTGTGGGCCCAGCCTTAGGAGACTCACTCGATGAGGCAAGGGTGAGACTGCCCCTGCGCTCAGGCACAGGAGGCCCCGGGCTGCTCCTGCGCTCAGGCACAGGGGGTACCGGGCTACCTCTGTGTTCTGGATAGGTCGAGGTGGGGCTCCCCTTATGTTCAATAAATCCTGTAGTTGGGCTGCCTCTCCGATTGGATAACCCTGGCGTGGGGCTCCCCTTCCGCTCTGGGTAGGCTGAGGTGGGGCTCCCTTTTGGCTCAGAAAGGGGCACCTGGTGTGCAGCAGGCACTTCTGGAGGGGGGCTGTCCCGCCCCTGCGGGGAGGTGGAGCGGCCCTGGGCAGAGAGGAAGCGGGAGGGCAGGCGGTCAGTGCCACTGCGGCCCAGCGTGTCAAGAAGTTGAGCAGCAGTGAGGGAGGCGGCTCCGGGCTGCCGCTCCGCCTCCTGGTGTAGCCTTTGGGCAAAGGAATCACGCAAGTCAAGCAAGCAGCTCTCCAGGCTGCGGTGCTCGCCCCCTGCTGCGCCTGGTGCGGTCACCTCTTCCCGCCAAGCTTGGGACACGACAGCCTTGCTGTGGCTGGAGACAGTGACCGCACCTCCCCCACCGCTTGGGTCACCGGCTGGACCCTTGTACTTCTCCAGCAGCTCGGCCACTTTAGCAGAGGCGGTGGAGCGCACGGCCTCTCCATTGGGACCCAACGTCTCGTTGACCGTTTGTTCCTTGTGCAGCAACTGCACCTTCTCAGTGGTGGCAGTTGTGGCACCTCCAGAGCCTTCAGCCTGCGCGAAGATAAGTGAGGAGCGTAGCCTGGAGCTGCGCTGGATGAGTGGGTTTAGGCGTGAGCGGAATGAGTCCTGCTTGACCAGGCCTGCCTCCTCCGAGCCCTCGCGCTCCGAGCTGTCGCCGCCACCGCTTCCCGAGCCTGGCAACAGGCCCTTGACTGGCAAGGTAGCAGGGACACGGAAGGCCGCCCGGCCCCCAGGAGCCAGCACGTCATCTTCGTAGACCTCAGCGTCCATGGGTGTGGGCAGGCCCTCCTCACCCACATCCTCGTGGCACCCGCTGAGGTAAGAGGCGAGGCGCCAGTGCCGCAGCCCCGCTCGCCCCTCTGGCCCGGGCCTGCGCTCGGGCTCTGCCTCTGGAGCAGCGTCTGGGCCTGGCCTCGCCCCCGCCTGGCATGGGAAACGCTGGCCCAGGTTGGGGCGCAGGGCCCCGCCGGGTTCCAGGCCACCAGGACCAGGCTTGAAGGCAGGGTCCGAGCCGTGGCGCACCTCGCGCGAGGCGCTGGAGGGCACGTACTCCAGCCGCTGGTGCACCTCGGGGCCGAGCTCGGGGAAGCGCGGCCCAGCGCCCAGCGCCAAGTCGTCCGGGTCAGCCAAGCCCGGGCGGCCAGCGCGAAGCTTCTCGAACAGGCCCTGCGGACGTGTGGGTGCGAACTGTGGGTCCCACTGGTAATGCTGCTGGTAGAGTTGGTCACGGTGGAAGTGGCTGGTCTGGAAGCGGAAGTCGTCCCCGTGACTGAGGAACGTCTGTCGGGACACGTGCCGCGCAGCCGCGAAGTTCTCCACAGCGCCTGCGCCGTCGGCCGCGGCGTAGCTGTGCCGCTTGAAGGCGTCCATCTCCAGGTGCCGGGCCTGGAAGAAGCCCCGCGGGCCCCCGAACTCCCCGCTGGGCCCTACTTCCGTGTCCAGCCGTCGCGACAGTGGCCGCATCCCTGCATGCGGCTCCAGAGCACCCCCGGGCACCCGGGGCAGCTCCTCCCTGCGGAAGGCCGAAAGGAAGTGGCGATCTGGGTCCAGGAAGGAGGGGAAACCCAGGCCTTCTTCGCGGGGCGGAGGGAACAGCAGGTGTGCCCGTTTAGGGAAGGAGAAAGGGGTTGGCGCCCCAGGGATGCCCACCAGGGGCCCAGCCCCGGAGTATGGAGCCAGGGCATAAGTGTCCATGCGGGCCAGCGCCCCAGCTGAGGGCACCAAGGGCTCAGACTGTGCGAAGAGGATGCGGAATTCTTCGTCGAAGCTGGAGACCAGCTCTCCCTGGAACACGTGTGCCAGGCTGCGGTGGATCTTCTCGAAGGACCACATGAAGCTGTGGGTGGGTGGGGGTCAGAGTCAAGGAACGGAGTGAGGAAGCACTGGCCTGCAGCGCTGGGTGGGACACACAGAGTCCCAGGGTGTGTTAGGACCTGGGCCAGGCCAGGCTATCAGGGTCTACAGGAGTGCTCCTGGTGAGGAGGGGCGGGGACACCCAGGGAGGCTCCAGAGAGGGGAGGGGTAGGGACCGACACCCAGCTGGGCACACTCCACACCTGTAGCTCCCGCTCATCACCACGGCACAGTCTACAAGCAGGAACTTCTCTTTGACGTGGCCCTTGAAAGACTTCCCAGTGCGGCAATAATAGGTGGGGCCAGCCACAGTGCGCACACGCAGGAACTGAGGAGGGAGGGGAGTCAGGTCTTCACCAGGGTCTTTCCCGGTCCACCCCACCTGTCCACTCACTCACATCCACGTGATGCAGGTTGACTCGGCATTTTTCCGCCATGTCCAGAAAGTGCTGTGCATTCATCTCATCCAGCAGGATATAGACGGGGACCCTGCGTGCAGCAGCCTCCAGCACTTCGCTGAGCAAGTCCACATCAGTGAACATGTCCATCACCACAGCCACCACCTGCAAGCACCAAGTCAGGAGGGAGGGTGGAATCTGTTGTCTCCACCCCATTCTTCAACCTACCCAGGGGAAGGTAGAGCTATGGACCATGTGAACCCCATTCCCTAGCAGCCATGTCTGGGAAGGTGGTCAGGAGGAAGGGACCTGACAGGGGTCATGGGGCTGCTAGCAGAGTGGGTGGCCCACATGGGAGCAGAGGCAGGGACCAGGCCTGCATCCTGCTTGGGTCAAGGGGAACCCCTGCAATCTCTTCTGCGCTAACCCAGACTGGATGTCAGGGCTGAGGCCCAGGCTCCAGGTCTGTTCTCAGGAAGGGGGCACTGCCCTGGGATGGGAGAACAGGGGTCTTTAGCAGCTGACCCTGGTTTAACAGGCCATCTCTGCTGTTCACCTTCTGCTTGGGAGGGGAGGAAGCTTTGAGCTGGCCAAGGCCCATCAGGCAAGTCTAGAAAATTCTTGGGACAAATCCATGCTAGGAGAGAACCAACATCCCAGAGCCTCTGGACATCAACCACCAGCCACCCTGTGCAGACCCTGTATTGGCCCAACCCTCAGTGACCTGGAAGGACGCTGCCAGGAAACCCCTGCTGCAGCTTGAAGCCTGGAAGGCCTGGCTGGCCAGTCCTGGCTCACCTCCGTGCTGGTGCTGGTTGTTTCTCCATCCCCTCTCCCTCCTTCTCATGCTTCCAGGTCCAGCCCAGGCCATTCCTCCCCCACTGCCCACAGAGCCTGCACCTGCTGGGCAGAGCGGATCATCCTTCGAGCCTCATCCTTGATGCTGGGGCTATCAGGTGGCGGCGGCTGCACTAGCGTGGTGACTTCAGTGCCCTGGAAGCCGAAGGTCAGGGGCCAGCCCAGGTCAAGCTCAGGAACTGCCTGGTCTGAGTTCACTGGCCAGTATGTGCCCGAAGAGCCATCCATGTCCACATCAGGAGGGCTGCCTTCAGGGGGCTCCCGGGCAGCATGCTGTGGGGGCTGAAGGTGGCGGTTCACATGCTCTAGCTCCTCAGGACACAGGAAATCGGGTGCCCCCTCTGTAGCCAGGAAGCGGTTATAGGCTTCTGGTCCACCCTCTGCCAACGCATCCACCGCCAGGCGGTAGTACTCTTTGTAGTGAGGTGGCAGGTACCCAGGCGCCAGTGGGTTATCCCCCTGCGAGGAGCTCTGGGAGCGGCGAGCCATGTTGGGGCCAGGGGCCTGGAGAGGAGACACCTTAATGAGGGGCAGGGGCACTGGGGCCCGCTCCCTTACCCTCACACAGGGTTTCCAGAGACTTCAGTGGACTGGAGTTCAGCCCATACCTGGAGGCCTTCCCAGGCCTAGGATACCCCCTAGTTGGAAGGACATCAGAAGTGCCAAGCAGGTCACAGGAATCCCAGCCCTGTTCCCCTTCTTCTGCCCTTATTGGTAGGGGTCCTGCTCTCATGAGCCCTTTCCCATAAAAACAGATTTTAACAGCTTGATGGCTGGTTCATAGACAAACACAACCCTCGCTGGACTATCAGCAGCCCCTTCTTATTGCTGTGGTCCCTAGCGCTGTGCCCACTGGTCGAGGCAGTGCTGTGCCTGCCGCCTGGGAGACCCCGGACTAGCCACTGTGCCTCTCCAGCCATCACCTCCACCATACAGCACAGCCAGGAGGGTTGACAGGACATACCAGGCTGTGACTTCATCCTGGGATGGCATAGCCCTAGGCCCCACCCACTGCCCAGGGCCACCCCTCTTCCCATCCTTCGGGTTTCACTGACTTCCCAGTGCTCTGACCCCTAGAATTCGTTCCTGCTTGCCAGCACCCCCCACCTGTTGCCCCTGTCTCATCTTGGAGAACACCTCCCTGGACCACAGCCCTTTGCTATTACCCTCCCGTCCTGTCCTTGCCTAGCCCAGCCCCATGGCAGTTGGGACCTTTCCAAGTCCTTAGGTCACTGCCTTCCTCCTGCTCACTAAGACACTAAGAATGGTATCAGCCTTTTCCATGGCTCAGTCTCATGCCCTTCACACCCTCCCCCTTGGTGGCTAGCCTCTAGGATGCTGACCAGCATGACCACTGAATATACTTAGAGACTGTGGCCTCCAGGCCTGCAGGAGCACCCAGAACCGCTCACCCTGTCCCCACTGCTCCTGTCTGGGGATGGGGCAGACTCCTGCCCTGCTTAGCACACAGGTTACTGGATGCCAGTCCCACGTGGGGAAGTGGCTCTGCCTAGGGGGAAGAGTGCACCCCAAGGTGTGGCCAGGAGTGCTGACAGGATGGGGCACTGGCCTTGGGCTACACTGGGTTGGAAGCCATACCTGCCTGAGAATGCTGGAGTCAGGCTCTGCTATGTATACCCTGGGACCTGTGCCACCTGGCGTTCCTGGGGGTGATATTCTAACTAAGGCAGAATGTGACACAGAGCTGAAGGTGGGGACATTCCTATTAACTGCTGGGGAATGCCACCTGGCCCACTTGTCCCAGGAAAAACTGTTCTTCCTTCTTGGAGCACTGCCCTGACCTCACAGTCTCCCTTCATGCTTGATGTGCAGGGTGGGGCGTAGTCCTGTGGTACAGCAGCAGGCCTGGTAGCCCACCTGTGAGTTGAGTGTTGGCCTGTCTGCCTGGACAGGCCCACTGCATCTGACCATTGTGGCAGGATCAACCATTTACCACTATCTGGTCAGGCTGTATGTGGGCAGTGTCTGACTGGACAGGCCTAGAGGCACCGGCCTGCTATTTGGGGAGGCGTGGGGAAGACGCACTGGAAGGGCCACTTGCTGATCCTTCAGATTTCATTGGGGAAGGGAACAGATTCATCCGGAGTGGGGAGGACAACTGTCCAGTTTGTGAGCTCTGGTGAGGAGCCTTCCCACAGGCGCTACTGGTTTGAAGGGGAGTCCCAATCCTGCCTGGCCACCCCCACCCCGGGGAGCCTGGCCTCACAGCAATGCTTACCACCTCCGATCACTTTACCCCTTGCCTGTTTCTCTAAAGGGCACGAATCCCCCTGGACTGGGACTGGGAAATGGCCACTCCCCATTCCTCAGTGAAGCCCCATCAGCCTGCTTCTCCCCATTGACCTACCCACCCGGCCCGGCCCGGCCCGAGGGAGGAAGGGGCCTAGCCCACCCAGACCGATGACTCAGCAGGAATCCTCTGCGGCTGACCTCTGACCTGAAGCCTGAAAGAGCCTTAAAGGCCCTCACCTCCACTTCCAGGACCCGATCCTTCCTACCTGGGCAGGAAGGGAGATTCCCTGGGAAGGATCTGGGCTCCTACACAAAGTGAGATAACCCGTGGTCAAAGACTGAGGCCAGGGAAGGGGCAGGATCAGGAAGCCGGGAGGTGGACCTTGGCTGGATGGGCTCACAGACCGGAAGTCGATGAGTTACAGCTTGCGGAGTGGGCACAGCAGGACCTAAGGGTGTCAGGTACCCCAGGAAGCAAGTTAGCGGCTGTCCAGGCCAGGTGCCTCATCTGCTCACTCCAGTCCAGGAACATGGGCTCAAGGGGCACAGGCCTCCCGCTCTACCTGCCCAGGACACCACCCCAGTCCATGGCAGCCTTGGAGGTTGGCTCCCAGGAAGAGTACGGGCCGCGAAGGCAGGAGCCGGTCAGACGCAGGGTCTCTAGTAGGGGCCCGGACCCTTTCGCTCTGGGCTCCTCTTGGGCCGGCGTCGTCGGGGGCTTCTCTCCCAGAAACCTACAGCGTCCCGGCCCTTGGTCCCCCGCCGGGCCCCGCAGGCC